GTGGTCCACATTCACCAGGAACCCTCCATGGCCATCCCACCTAATTGCCTGAGACGCTGATTCAGAGGCTACCCAACACCTTGCAATAACAGAATCCTTTAAGTTGCAGTGTCTGTGTGCGAGCATATGTGGAGCAGCATTTGCAAACAGTGGTCACAGCCTTTTCTTGGTGATGCTTTGGCATGAGTCATTTCACCCCTCTGAGCACAAACAGCTAGGGTTGTTCTGCTTGGCTCTGGAGGCACTGGAGGAGTTGGGAGTGGCTGTGGTAGCAAGGGGAGGTGGGTCACTGGTGCCCACCAGGAGAGTTCATCTGAGGCTGTTTGCAGTGGGTTCCCAGCTGGTACAACTCTAACATTGTTCTATGGGGTGTCTGAAATACCTTCAGCCGTGCGAGGCTGTTCATTTATGTATTTGTGTTTCTGTGTTTATATGAACTCATGCGCATTTCCTGTTGATGGTGAATGCTTAACTAATGTGCCTCGGTCCCTGCTTTGGGTTTTTTCAGGCAGCTGCATACAGCTGCCTGGGTGAGGCAGAAGAGCTGGGCACAATGTCATCCACTCCTGCAAAAGATTTTTAGTTTCCTTGTCATTTGCACTCATATAAAGACAGGTTAAACCTAAATTAAATTTTTTTTTCTTTCTCACTCTTTTCATGTTCTCGTTAATGATTTTGCAGTCTGGCTAATTATTGCTGCTGAACAGTTCACTCAAAAGTGCAGGCTGTTATCTGAGTTTCTGGAGCTAGAATTACTGTGAAGACACTGCCAACTTGGAGGCTTTGAATTCACTTCTGGTAGCAGAATTTATTGCCTTTTTTTTTTTTTATTTAAGATGCAGTTTATTATCTTCAAAACACTCAATAGAATGGGCTTTTTGAATATTCATATCTTAACCTCTCACCTTCTGCAAGACTTACTTTAGATTTTAGCATCAGCATTGCTTTTCTTTCATAGAATCATAGAATATCTTGGGTTGGAAGATCCCTTAAAGGTTATGTGGCTCCAAACCCCATGCCAGAACCCTTTCTTCTAGGCCAGGTTGCTCAAAGCCCCATCCAACCTGGTCTTGCCAGTAAACAGTTATAATGAAGGAGGCATCTGGCAAGAAGATTTCTAGCAAAGAGCAAGAAAAATAGTGAATCCATAAGGGATCGTTTAAAAGCTTTGTTAGGGATCTCTTATAATTTAATTTAAAAATTGCCTTTTAAGATGACTTCTATTATTTGCTCATTTGGCTTTACAAATAACTTGTGTGCAGTCCAGTAAGCTTGATTCAGCATCCTCCTACTGCTGAAACTGTTTTCAGTTTCTCTTGGGGCTGTAAATTTTCTTTTTTACTGTCTAGAAAAGCATCAACATCCTTATGATACATTTTTTGCCATTGTGTTGGAAGTCTGAGAATAGTGAAGAAACAGATTTATTTCCCCTTCAACACAAACGATTGGTATAACATGTAGGGGTTTGTGTCCTTCAACACCCCCAACGCTCCCCATTTTTTAATGGAGAAAGATTTTCTAAAAGTAATGAAATATAGGCAATAATCCTGAATTACACTGAATTACATGGGTTTCTGGGAGCAACATGTATTACAGTAACTTATAGACAGTATTTAACCTTAACGGCAGTGGGAGTGAAGCCTTATTGGAGCCAGCCTACGATAGAGGTTCCCTTGACTACATGTCTGTGGGGTTACTGCAGGGAAGTCTCAGTAGCTGGTGGTTCCATGAACACTCACTGATATGCCAGGTTGGTGATGGTCTGATCTGGGTGATAAAGATCACATTGGGTGTTCAGGCCGTGAGGACCAGCTCATATCTTTCTCAGATGTCAAATTGAAGTACTGCTTGAAGAAGGGAGAACATGCATGAGGGCATCTCCCAGACCTGTGGTGTTGTCGTTGGAGAAAAGTGTCTTGGATTGCTGTAACATGCCTGTCCTGGAGGCAGGCTCTGCAGCTGCCTGTCAGTCCATGATGACTAATAGTCCTGGGTCTGTGTGTTTTGGTCACTACTCTAAATTACTGAGGTGATCGGTGATGTGCTTTGTGAACCTGTTGGTTTCTGGTTGGAGTTGAAGGCAACCTGCTGATGGAAGTTGTTTAGAGAGCCCTGTGTTATCAAAGGCCCTAACTGACACTTCTGCCATCACTGGAAAGATATTGGTGTACTTTGACTAAAGTTGGGAGCGTCATCTTTTGGGTCAAATTGGGCCAAATCTGTTGAACTGCCAAAGTTATTGCAAGGCTGTATGACCTACTATGGCTTTCGGTGAGTGGAGGTGTGTGGTTGAGAGAGGGAGCAGAAACGCCAGGATGCTGAGGCACTCACACCATTAGTTTGCTTTGAGGTTTCCTTAGAGGGGCAAAAAAAGCCTTTCTTTTCCCTCTTTCCCCTTCTCCCCCGTGTTTTAGCTGAGCACACTGAATTTGTGTGGTTGGAGGTCTGGATTTTTCTTACTGCAAAACAAAAGAGATGAAAAAATATAACAAACTTTGACATGCCAAGTACTGAAAGACCAAAACAGGATGGGGATGGAAATTAGTCTGTTGTTTTAAAAATGTATGTTTGTTATGTAGTTTTGATTAAGAAAACCAAAACAAAAAACCAAACCAAAACGCACAACCAAAACACAAAAACCCTGAGGATCAAAATGATGGTTGTTTGAGGTCCTGAAAAATGTAAAGACATTCTTGGCATTAATTGTAAGTATGCATGGCAAGCAGGAGCAGCCACACAGCGTTCTCACACCAAGTATTTACAGCTGTGGAAGAGCCATATGCAAGCCACTTAAAACCTGACTATAAATCGAAAATCTGCTGATGTGATTAACATTTTGGGTAAAGATGCATGAACTTTTTGTCTCAAAGTTTAGAAATAGTCTGTTGTAATCCAAAGTGGATTGTACTCTTAACACAGTGCCAGTCCTATTCTTTCCATTCTCGCGAAATAGGGGTAATTTACAAGTAAGATAAAAATTTCTGTTTGCACTCCACTTAAAAATTCTCTGTCTTTCCAGAGAGCTTTTGTGCAGACCTTGAAACCAAGTCAAACCTGGATTGCTTAAAATAAATCTGCATTTGCCTATTTAACTTTCTCTGGAGAGCTACATCCTGAATATATACATGTGTATGTAAATATCAGATTTACTCCAAAAATCTTTTCTTTAGGGACGAATGTGACTTCCCTTTCATCTGTCAACTTGTTTTCATGTACAATCACTGCAGTTAATAGGTGATTTGTTTAAATATAGTGCAAAAAATAGCGATGAGCACTAATCTAATGAGGATAGGTACTATACTTGATAATTTAAAAGTTAAATCTAAGCAAAATGTCATTTTATGAGTTGAGGGCAAGTACTGAAGCAAAATAAGAGTAGCGTGGAAGTCTGTACATACAATGAATGTCTTTTAGCTCACTGTGCTCAATAACAAACAACTGGATTGTTTCATTACTTTTTTTCCTGGTGTAGGACAGCTCAGTCATTTTAAATTTCGAATTAAGATGAGGTTGGATTTCATATCTGTTAGAGCTTTGTAAACGTTTAATTTTTAACCTTCATTTCAAGTGGAAAATTTCTGCATATTTCTTTATTGTACAGTGTTGTAGTGTAATTTAAAACACATGTAGAGTTCTGGCACTTAATCTAGAAATGACTCGTGTAACTTCTTTGCTGTCAATC